TGACTTCTATCTGGCGGCTGCTCGTCCACAATTCCTTACTTGGAGCGCCCAAAAGATTATAAACGTTCGGGTGCTAATTATACTGAGGGACATTTTATAAATATTCGATTCAAGTTGATTCGGTTGATTCTGGGGATCTGCAGAACTGCTCATCTTATCTCCCTGGCAGATCTACCGAATCTAAATCCTCATGATTGGATTGTCCTGTATAATATCATTTTGACTAATGAAGCTGAATATGGTCCCATTCTAGACCATGTCAAAAGGATGTTAATCTGCTACATCATGGAGGTTGCCCTAATGGATCAGGAGGTCGCCACAGTCTTCAAGAAGAAACCCAAAATTGCTCCTGTGGGATCGGCCAGTGATCTCAATCAAATGCTACTGGGCAGGATCGACCCGAGACGCAACACGGTTATGTTCACTAGAGCGGAAGGACAGAAATGTCTCTTCGCTTTAGCTGACAAGCATCTTTACACCACAACCTGTTTGGAGCGTGTGCTGTTCATTGTCAAACGGTGTAAAGAGAACTCGGCCGATGATGTCAAGTATTTTGAAGATATGATTAACTGGTACATCTGGTTTAGACAGACCATTCTTTCCATCACCAAATGTCAGTTTAGTACCGTGAAGAAGGTACCTGCTTCAGCTGCTGGCCCAAGTAACTAGTGAAGGCCTCGCTCCAAATTGACGCAAAGGGGGAGATTGTTGAGCGAGAAACTATTTTTGAAGATTGCATCTTTTGGGCTCGTTTAGCATAAGGCTTTTTGTATTCCGATTTGGCCCTGTCCAACCGTGAACCTTTTATGTTTTGTATATAAGTTTACGCTTGCATGCATATTAGGTTAAGGTTTTTAGAGATCTGAGAATAGCGATACATCTAGACGATAACAGGTTTCTTTGATCGTTCTTGTAACCTTCCAATCCTCTACAGTTGATGTTCTTAATCGAGCTCTTCTGAGGATTTTGTTTAATCATTCGACACGTTTGATTCCATCTTGTCTTGTTCTTATTATTGTGTTTATATCGCTTTTGTTTACTTTCTTGTTCAAGATCTAATCGATCTTTATAGATTAAAGGTTAGTTTAATCTCATCAGTTTTCACCTGAAATTATGCAGGAAAACAGCAATTAGAAGATCACAGATACATTTTTTTCTTAAAAAATATACGAATATTTCACAAGTTTGGTTTTTAAAGTATTTTCTTCCAAAACTTTAAATTACCTATGCTAAAATGCTACTTTGTGTATGAACAACTCCTTTAGGTTTCCCAGTTGTTCCACTAGTATACAAAATCAATGTTGGATCATCGTCTGTATGAATAAGACAATTTTATATTATTATTGTATATGAAATTATATATATGTATATATATATATATATATATATATATATATATATATATGTATATATTAAAGAACATGGATATATACCTTTTATGTTATTTTCAAATACATTCTCTTTTTGATGTACAACACCATTATCTACTGCTTGTGAAGTCATAGTAGGAACATTTGGTATTAGAGAAAATTGAGCTGCAGTTTTAGCTGCAACTTTTTGCATAAGCTCCCTGTGATCATCAGTACTAAAAATCATGGACACATCCTTCAAAAATCAAATTAACAATGTTGTATTATTAGGAGAATAAAATTGTATCTTACAAAGGCCACATAAACTACATTAAAAAAAGGGTATGTTAATTGAATAAGGAGAAAACAGTCATTTTATTGAATTTCATTTCTTCCTATTAAAGAAATTTTAGCAATATCATCCAAATACAAAGCAATTTCTTCCAAATAAAAAACATAGGAAACTAGAAAAGTTTAAGGTTGTTTTGAGAGCAAACCGAGCCAGTCATGACATGTAACAACTCAGCTTCAGGGTAACTGAGTGCAAGTGGAACAGCTACACCTCCATTTAACCATATTGCAAGTACTCCAGGAACAAACTCAGCACAAGGTTTAGCAACAACACACCTATTCTAGTTATAAGAATGAAGAAATAATAGTGTTTGGGATCTATGGTGTTGATATTGCAAAGAAACAAAGGCCCATTTGATTCACATAATCTATTTGGAAGGCATGGAATATGTCAAAGCAATTGGAATCTGAAAGAATTGCAATCTGTTAATTGTTTGGTTGGCAGAATATGGGAAGGAAATCAATCACAACCCTTTGCTATTTTCTGTTTGATTTGTAAATTTATCAAATAAATGGGAATGTAAATTATGTTAAGGAAGAATGTGTTTGTGTTTTAAAGGGTTTATGAGAAAATTTTAGTCATTTAATGAAGAAATAAAAATAGAACTCAAACCCTACCACCCACCCCAAGAAATGACAAAATCCGTCAAACATTGATTTCTGAAGGAGATCCTGGAATACAGTTCCCTTAGTTTAGCAACCAAAAAAACAAAATGGAATTCAATATTCCCATTCCTTCAGATTCCCATAGAATCCACGAACCAAAACATATGTTCAATATTCATAATGTATGTTTCCACTAGAAGAAACTACAAAAATGGAATTCAAGATTCCAATTCCTTCAGATTCCCTTTATTTTTCTTTTACTTTTCCTTTTTCTCTTTATTTATCTTTAACCTCTCTACCAAGTCCCTTTTCCCTGTCCCTTTCACTCCCAGGTCTTTCTGATCTTGCTTCCACTTCGATGTCGCCTTTTCATCATATTGTTGATGATTTATAACCTGCAAACCATGACAATACATAAGTAGCTCCATTCATCATGGTAAATTTAGAGTTTAGAGGATGATTCCCAAATTAGTTAGGGTTTATTAGTGAAAAAGGAAATATATTCAAATATTATATGTAAAGAGGAAGAAATAGAAACCTCAGGAGCCATCCATCTGTAAGTTCCAGTCTCTACTGTCATAACTCCCCCTTGACTCAAAACCGGGCAACCCCAAAATCTGCCACCTTTACAACCTAAAATTAAAATATTAAATTAAATTTAAAAAAACAGAGAAACAGTGAAGAAGCTAATAAGTCAAAGTGTAATTAATGCCTTTATAGTTTTTACATTGAGTGTCGATGAGCAAATTTGCAGTCTTGAGAGCCCTATGAATTATGTTGGTTTCTCATTTGAGGCGTCCAACTCCTGAGAAGGACTCTGCCTCTGATCAAGAAAAAGTGGAGGAGGGTCAGCAGACAAAAAATGAGTCCCAAGAATTAGATGGGATGGTGCCTGAAACTGAAACTGCTGGTGAAAGAAGCAGTGGTATCGTAAATCAAAACCACTGTAATCGGTGGATTTATATACAAGAATTAGAAATTATTGACTTACCTCAAGTTGACCTTGTAGCGACATAATGTAATTGATGATTTTATCGACCATAAGTGCTTTTCCAGTGACCTAAGAACATGATTTCACATTTTGATTTCACCAACCATGAGTACTTTTCGAGTGACCTAAGAACACGATTCCGAATTGGCGATGGAGACGAACCAGAAACCTTTAGAGGTCGCGACCTGGCGATGGTGAATTCTCTTTCTACAACACTGGCGGCTCTGATTTTGATGACACTAACGGTGAAGGATTCTCTTTCTACGACGCCGCTGGCTCTCAATTTGATTGAGGTAGAAGACAAAGCAGTAAGTGGTGGAATGTATTTAGGACTTAACCAATGAATGGGCGTTGGGAAGAAGTAGATGATAACGGAGTCGGGGTTGCATTTATGGAGGCTTCGTATAGGGCGGTGGTGGTGAAAGGGTTTTGGCTCTGAATAGTAAAGAACAAAGACGGTGAGGTTAGTGTAGTAATTTGGAAGATAGATGGTGATGGGGAAGAACGGTCGTCTTTCATTGGAAGTCGACGGCGGTGGGAGACACTCAGAAGGGGCGAAGAAGCAGCAGATATCGGAAGGCGAATAGAGGTTTGAGAATCAAGAGAGAAGAAAGAAAGAAATGGAGTTTTCGGCAGGGAAGAGCTAGGGTTTTCAGCCGGTGGAAACAAAGCGGGCTTTTTAATTTTTGTATTTCATTTCCCCCTCGGATGAAACGCGTGTTTCATTAAAATTTATAAAGCGACATGGTTAGACGACACACATTTTATTTAAGATGCCCTCCGTGTTTTATTTTCTATTTTTTATTAGACACTAATTTAAGGGCGCGCAAAAATCCGTGCCCTCTATGCTTCATATTTTGGAAAACTGACATCAATTTTTAGGGCACGCTCAAATGCGTGTTCTCTATCAACGTGTGTCATTGATTGCGCGTCGTAAAAGGCTGTTTTTCTAGTAGTGCTTCCAAAAATCATGATAAAAATTATGAATAAACTAGATTCATTTTAGGAACTCTCAGGATTTACACATTTTGTTTTCACCTTCGTATGATTTTTTTATGATTTTTCTAAAACAGTGCAGAAAGGTTAAGAATTAGTTAACAACTTCTAACTATCAAAACACTTTGTAACATGTTGAGCAAAGTGTTAAGTCTTTGATGACTTCATATATTACATGTATATCTTTTTATGATATAATTATATAATAGGAAATTACTTACTGAATTTATAAGAATCCTCCATCAAAATCATTAGTACAAAACAAAACAAGTTAAACATAGCTATATTGTACAATACATTTGACTTACATGGAAAGGTTTCTTGTACACCACAAATAAACATACTAAAGTATAGTAAGTATAGTTAGCTTGCATATGCATTTCAAACATTTTGATAAACTATAATAGGTATAGTTTATGATCATCTACATTACAAAAGGTTTTCACACGAATGGGGTACATTCCAAAGTACCGGGTTTTCATATAAACGGGGTACATTCCAAAGTACCGGGTATTTTTATACAAAAAGGGGTACAGATACAAAGTACCGGGTTTTTATACAAAAAGGGGTACAGATACAAAGTACCAGGTTTTTATACAAAAAGGGGTACACATACAAAGTACCGGATTTTTATACAAAAAGGGGTACAAATACAAAGTACCGGGTTTTATAGGAATGGGTTATATTCCAAAGTATCGAGTTTTCATATAAATGGGGTACATCCCAAAGTACCGGGTTGTCATACGAATGGGGTACATTCCAAAGTACCAGGTTCACATAAAATAGTTGTTATGATATTAAAACTATATTTCATCTAGAATTGTTAGACTTCAATTATAATTGTTGAGCGTATATGCTTGAGTCATATAAGAATTTAGTCTTGATTGGCTTAGAATTGGTGGTGCCCGCCTCATCTCCTGTTCCTTTTTTGGTTGTGGACCTAGGGCAGACCCACTATATTCAACGTTTTATCTAACTTAAATCTTATATAATATATATATGTTGGACGATTATAGGAGAACTCTACGGGTCATTCTAGGGTTCATAAATGCATCATATAGAAATATTTCTATTGACACTTAACTAAGAAAATATTGGATTTTCTGGAAATCAAACTGTATCGATTTTACAAGGAAAACGGTTTCTACTTCAAACAAAACTCTTATGAACTCACCAACTTAATTGTTGACACTTTTTCAAAACTACTTGTATTCTCAGGAAATTAGTGAAACAGGAAAAAGTTCAGCTCCTTGAGGATGGGACGTTAAACCGTCAACAATTTACTTTTTTCGTCATAATGTAATTGATTTTGAAACATGTAAACATATACTTTGGTGTAACTTTTTCAATTATATTTATGATGGTTGTATTTACTTTGAGCTCTATTATACATGTTGTTGTGATACTGTACATGAAGTCCTCCACCCCCGGACGTTTCCGCCATCCTTGGTTTGGGGGTGTGACAATATCTGCTTAGGATATATGGGTGTTGGCATCCCCTTTGGTCTATTCCAACCGGATAACTGCCTAGCATATATGGGTGTTGGCCTCCCCTTCGATCTAGTCCAACTAGATATCGGGGACTACTTAACCCATACCACTACCACATATAATAATAGTATACAAGCACATAGAACATAACATATTGTGGCATACCAGACAATTATCACACAAAAAATCATCTAGCTACAAGCTCTTACTAGTGGGCCAACATTGTGGCCTTAGACCCACTTCTACTGGAAAATAACTCACCTCGATGTCGTGAAGTGCCTGAACTGTCCTTATTGACGGGATCAACTCCTCTCAAATCCTACACATAGTCATCTTCGTTATTTAGCATTTCATGGTCAACTTAGGTTAAAGTCAAAGTCAAAGTCAACTTTCAGTCAACTCACCGAGTTGGTCCACCAACTCGTCGAGCTCCATGATACAGAGTCGGGACCCTTTACAAGTGACTCGGCGAGTTCATCATTTGACTCACTTAGTTCCTTACGAACTTGTCGAGTTCATCTTATTGTAAGGTGATGTTCTTCGTGCTGGACTCATCGAGTTCTTCATTGACTCGCCAAGTCCATCTTCATATTCTTGGGACATAGCCTTGAACTTTCCATGTTAGTTTATACACTTGTCGAATCCAATGAATCCTTGGTCCTTATGGAGCTCAACAGTATGAGTGTACTTCTAACTTAACACATGGTTCATTATCAGAAGGGATTTGGTGGGAAATGCGTCCTGACTCGCCGAGTCACATGAGTGACTCGCCGAGTCACATGAGTGACTCGCCAAGTCCCTATATGTCCAAAACTATACACTTAATTTCAGTTGGTGCTAATGAATCCAAAACATAGATCTTACCTCCTTGGGTTCATAATACACATAAAGTCCAAAACTTGACATCCATGCATGGGGCATTTGGCCCAAATGGCCATAAAATGGAGTTTATAAGATGCATGGGGTGCATATGGCAATAAAGTTGTCAACTTTATACCATTAGAACCCTCAATGGTTCTAGATTCTAAGTCATACTCTCTAGAACCATACAATCTCGAATGTGGCTCTATAAAAGTTTAGAAAATGAAGAAAGGAACAATAACTAGAGATCTAAGAGATAAATGGTCAAGGTTGAAGCTTTTTACCTCCAATTATTTTGAAATAGGACACAACCTCTGGATCTACTAGCTTTCACTTGAACTCCCAAGATCCTTTTTTTTTTCAAACTTCACAACCACGAAAAACACACAAAAAATTGCTCATGAACACTCAAACAAGGTTAGGGTTTCGATTTAGGGCTTTCTTGACACAAGGAGGCGATGAGGGAGGCCACAACTGGAGAGATAAGGTGTTTAAATAGGGTGCTAACCCATAAATTAGGGTTTCACCCAGACAAGCTTACTCGTCGTGTCAGGGCATCTGAATCGTTTAGTAGGTTGTTCTTCCCGCGTCCAATTTTAACCTCTACTCGACGAGGTGGGGACTCCAACTCCCCGAGTCCCAAAATATTTGTGCAAAAATGTATATTTAAATTTTGTACCAGGAACCGGGCGCTACAAATCTCCCCCACTTATTTTTGACATTTTCCTCAAAGTCTTCCACTGCGTTTGGGAAAAGCTCGGGGTAGTGCTCCCTCATTTCGTCCTTCGGCACCCAAGTCCATTCGGAGCCCTTGCGGTGTTGCCATTGCACCTTCACCAGTTCGATCTTGTTGTTGCTCAGGTCCTTCGACTTCCTTTCAAGGATAGCTATTGGCCGCTCGATGCAGTTCAGGCTGTCATCTACCTGATTATCCTCTTGAAGGCACCACTGTTGAATCTTCTACTAGAAACTTCCGCAGCTGGGAAACATGAAAGGTACTGTGAACTGGCTATGTTCGGCTGGCAGGTCCAGACTATACACCGCCTTGCCCACACAGGCTGTAACCCTGAAAGGCCCAATATACATCGGGCCCAACTTCACATGCTTCCTAAATCGGATGACACCTTTGCAAGGAGATACCTTTAGGAGAACCACATCCCTGACTTGGAACTCTAGGTCCAAATGGCGCTTTTCGGCATAACTTCTCTTCCGTCTCTGAGCAGTCTGAAGCCTGCTCTGGACTTGTTGGATCCTTTCCGTCCTCTTGAGCACCACATTAGTACTCCCCAAGACTCTCTACCCAACCTCGCTACAGCATATTGGGGTCTTGCACTTCCTCCTGTACAACATCTCAAAGGGAGGACGGTCAATACTGATGTGGTAGCTATTTTTGTAGGGAAATTCTGCTATAAGGTAGGTATCACAGCTACCACCGAAGTCTAATACGTGCGTCCACAGTATATCCTCCAATGTCAGGATGGTCTACTAGCTTTGACCATCCATCTGCGGGTGGAAAATGGTGCTAAAGTGCAGACGAGTAACTAACTCATCATGAAATTTCTTCCAAAACCTGGAAGTGAACCTCACATCTGTGTCAGAAGTCACGGAGACTGGCACTCCATGTCGGGCTACAAGCTCTCGGTTATAGATCTCGGCCAGCTTCTCGGCCGAAATGCTCTCCTGGCTCAGTATAAAATGGGCACTCTTGGTCAATCGATCGACAATGACCCATATAGAATCTACTCCCCATGCAGTCCTAGGAAGCTTGCTGATGAAATACATGGTAATATCTTCTCATTTCCACATGGGGATGTCTAATGGCTGCGTCTTGCCATGAGGCGTCTGGTGCTCGGCCTTAACCTTCCTGCAGATTAGGCACCTCTCAATATACCAGGCTACACCCTGCTTCATGCAGGGCCACCAGTAATTAGGACGAAGATCTTTATACCTCTTCGTTGCATCTGGATGGATAGAAAAACTGGATTTGTGGGCCTTATCCATCAAAATCTGCCATACTCCACCCCAGTACGGATCCCAGACCCATGCAGGTTCAGCATCCCATGGTTGTTATAGTCAAACGAGGCCACCTAGCCTATGATATGCTCGCATTTCCGACGCTCCACCTTAAATCCCTCGACCTGTGTATCCCGGATGTGTTCCAACAATGGAGTTATTATAGTCATCCTCAAGCATACGTCTCTGATCGAGGCTACCTTGCGACTAACCGCACCGGCCACAACTGTCACACCCCAAAACCATGAATGGCGGAAACATTCTGGGCTGGAGGATCTCATCTACAGTCTCACAACAATGAATACTAGTAAATAACCAACAACATCATCCATTGCATTAATAATATAATTTCATACATGTGTGTTCTGTCAAAGTTATAGACACCAAAAATATACATATCAAAATAAAAGATGAGTCTTGAACAAACTCCATCTTCTCAAAAGCCTGGCACCTGTACTTATCTAGTGGTGACCTGAGAATACAAGTTATTTTGAAAGCGAGTATCAACTTAATGCTGGCGAGATCATAAGTATACTAATGTTTGAATTTGTATGAAAACGTTTGTAAGATATTCTTGTAAGATGTTTTGTACAATGTTTTATATAATATTTTGTATAATGTTTGAACTCTCCTAGAAAAGCCTATGTTTCCTACTAACTGTAGCCTTCTACCAAGGCATCTCGTGTCTATGTTTATGTCTCTTATTAGAGTGTGTGTTTTACCAATTCTGACTATTATTAACTAAAAATATAGTTTCTACATGACCGTGCATCGTATGAATATTCACGAAGTGAATGAAATGGGAATATATTATTGTATCGTAGTATTTATAATAAGTGACTACCGTGGTACTAACTACCTTAAAACAAAATGTATTCCAAGTAACA